AGAGAGAGAGAGAGAGAGAGAGAGAGAGAGAGAGAGAGAGAGAGAGAAAGAGAGAGATAGAGAGAGCAGCGAAGAGACACGCAGAGGCACCGATTCATTTTATTTCCCGGGTACGGTGTCGCCAACCCAATTAAAGACGTCCCAACAGGCGACGGTCCTATCTGACGAGGCTGCCGACCACCCCAGCGGCTGGTCAGGTTAGGCCACGCTGGTCTCTGTCCCCCCGTACGTAGGCAGCCGAGGCTACCCTCCTACTCTCTTCCTGAACCGTCGAAATCTACGAACCAACACTGCCACGGAAGGCACTGGAGACCAAAGCCAGGAGGGACCGAGAGCCAGAGAGACGGAGAGAGGAGCCCAGCTAGCAGCCAGACCCCCGCCGTCCTGATAATCCAATCGAAGCCCTAATTCTAACTCGGCAACCCGAAATTCCCGCCGGTTTGCTGAATAGGGTACGGCTGCTGCTCGATCCTGGGGACACAATGGGGGCGCGACGCCGGAATACAGACCGGCACCCGGGGCTAACGAGATCTCGTTTAAACGACCGGCGATTCGTACGCTTGGCGCCGACCCCGAAGAAATTTGCGAACCACTTCCTTACGTCGAACGTCGGTTCGATTCGATCTGATCCAGATCTACGGATGCGTTAGGTCTCGATGGCTGTGGATAGATTTAATAGATCAATCACAGAGCGCTAGGTCTGGATGGCTTTCGTTAGATTTAATAGATTATTCCTAGAGTTCTGGCTGTCAGATGTTCTTCGTGGTGTTTCAGTGAACGAGAGGCAAATTGTTGCGATTAGTAGAAAATTGTTAGCTGATTGATGGTAGGTGTGTAACGAATGTTCAGGTCTGTGTTTGCAACGCAACTTTCCCCGAGGCGCCCCGAGACGCTGTAGCCCACGGCAATCAACGTGTTAATTACAAAATCGAAACCACCAAAATGCAACCATTGCAACACGACCCACACCGTGCAACCCTTAATCGAAGAATGATATGAACTGGAAGAAGATAGTAGGAATCTACATATCTCGAAGACTTTAGATATAGTACTAAACTTTGCTACAGTACTAAGCATTGGACAGACGCAATTTGCTGGTCCAAGTACGAGGATGACATTTACGTAAACAATTAGTCTCTTTGCCAAACGTGGCTAATAACCTAGACTTTCGTGCGACCTTAAACAAATCATTAAAAAAAAATAAATGCAGAATATAGTCTTTCTAGAGCTACCGTTCAATGGATTAATAAATTCCTCCTGATAGACGATCGCCTCCAACCATCGGCTTTGAAAACGACCACACCGACAGATTTTTCAGTGGTGATGGGGGTAAGTTAGTCGGACCTCCTCGGGAGTCGTTACCTCACTTATCGATTTCATTGGACAACCCCTTTACGCGTGCACGGTGACTGCCAGGGAATTTCTCGAGAGTTACCAGCTGCCAGCGACAGCTCCTCATTTCGTTCCGTCGCCTCCCCTAGGAATCGACCCTCTTCGACACGCTGGATGCCTAGACCATTTTCGACCTTTTCTCCGACAAAGCGGACGTCGTTCCATTGCCCGACGAAGGTGTTCGACTCCGGATCTCGGGGTTTCGAACTTCCTCCCAGAGGTAGATATCCGCGGGAACCTCTCTCGATCAATTTCCTTAGTCCTGCATCCTTTCTGCGGCCACCTTCGGCTGCGGGACGAGGGTAGAATGTGTAATGAATTGCTTGTTTAATTAATTACGACCCTCGAGCGATCCTGGAGTTCGGACGGGGCGCCTTTCGTTCCTCCATCGGAGATCGTTTCCTAGGCCCATTTGCGAGCCAGAATGCAGCTCATACGGCTGATTTATCGCTCTACGAGGAAGGGTTCAGGCCAGAACAACTCGTTTGATTCACTTGACGGAAAGGAACAGCTGTTGGGGAGGGATATCAATTATACTCTTTATCTATTTTCTGTATTTAGCGTATTCATTAAGGTGCTTACGAAGATAGTACGCCAAGAGTTTATATTAGGTCTACCGAAAAGTTCTGTCTGTTTGCTCACTAGTGTAGATATTAGCCTCTGTATTTAAACATTATGCGCTTAACTCGTAACACGTAATATTTTCTGGGACACTTCAATTTTAATATGAATATTCGATTCCATTCTGGCTGAGCTTTGTCGAACGATCACGTCAAAGTCTAAATAAATCCGATGGACAAGAATTTTAAATGACAGGGTAGGTTAATTGTGTGTTAGGATAACGCGATGGTTTCAGAGGATGTAAGCGTAATAAAATTAGGGATCATGTCAAAGACAAGGAAGCGGTGGTTTAAAGATCGACCACCCACAACTCGCAGCCCTTTGATCTTGCGCCGCTTCCCTTCAACTTGTCGCCGGTTCCCTTTATTTCGGGGAAACGGTTTGTTTTCATAGAACATGCAACGCGCCGCCTATTTCAGAGCATCGCGACGTCCTAGTTCAAACCTGTTAGGGCCTCGAGACGTTCGAGTTAATTTATGCGTCAAAGCACAAGAAAGAGTATATATGTTACGGTGAATCTGATAAACTGGAAATGACGCGTAATCCTCGCTAAAGTTGGCGAATGTAATCAATTCTGGAATATAATAAATTCTGGAAGACCCTTCGATAAGGCTAATCAAACCATCATTTGGACACCGACTATAGCACCACTTCTACATTCTCGCGATGAGGATCTTTTATGATCAAAATTTCGTGGGTGGTCCGAACAGACCAGCGGATGCGGTCGCAATCTGCCAAGATCACTGCGTAACCGAACTAGCAGACCGTATCGAACTAAATATTTTTGGCACGTGAAAATTATGGCGACGAAAACGTTCATAAACGTCCCATTTGCGAGCGTTACTTTGGCGATTTGAACTATGAATCGAAAATGACGACTTTTCAAAAGTGTTAAGGAAGAAATTTCGCGAATGAAATTCCGAAATAAAGAAGTCAAAAAATCCTAATGACTCTAATCAGATAAGAGAATCATTAACGAAGAAGCTTCTAACATCTGGCAGACTTGATCTAAGAAATCTGGAAAAATGTACAAATGAATCTATCGAACGTCTCGTGAATTGTTCTTATTGTGATAAAGTGATTAATAAACTTTGGAATCAGATTGTCACATTTGTAGATGGATGATCAACCGTTCGGTGTAAACATCGTCCTTTCGATTCTCGCGCAATGCGTTGAACGCGTAGCATACGCAATGAACCTGGTTCGTGGAAAAGCCTGCGTGGCAACGGCGACATCGGTCGCGAGACACCAAATAACCAGGGTGGTCTCGGTAATTGTATGTCCCAGTGGCGGTATAGCCGCGGAGAAGCCGGCGGCGGCGTCGGCGGCCAGCTCGAGACGCAACCGAGAAACTTCGTAGGCGTCGCCCGAGCAGCACAATATCTCCACGGCTGAACGCCACAGCCCTTTATCAATGTTATGGCGGCCGGCCGCGGTTATAAATAATGGCAATTGCGCGAAACTTAGCCAGCTAGGTGTAACGGCCGACCAGCGGGAACCGCACGCTCCGGGCCATTTCAAACTTGCGGCTTTGAATGCCTGCTGCGCGCCGTTCGTGAGGAGTTACGCGCTCGGGCTAGCGACGGGACTGGTCCAGTACTTATGATGTTCAAACAATTCGATAATTAAGGTGAACGTGCCGATAGCGAGCAACGCCTTCGAACTTGTTCACCAGGCAAACCATTACGGTACAGTAGGGTAAGGAGCGTTGTACGTATGTAGTTGCCAAGCGTACGCATGGTTAGTTCTCTTTGAAGCATATTATTTATAAATACACTGAGGGACGAAACTTAGAGGACACTATTTCAAAACGTCGTAACTATGGGAGTTTTCAACCGATTTTCGTGAAACTTTGTCAGGAGTAGTCTCGAAGTATTCTCTGGGCGTGTACAAAGTTGCATTGGCGAGGGTTGATGCGAAGGGGTTATTATTCAAGGTTGCGTTCGTTTATAATTTGATACTATGTTGGTTCATATGTTTTCTTAACTTATATAAAGTATCCGATTGAATTAAGAATTAGTTTTATTCGATAAGTCACTGTTTATATAGTTGATAAAGGAAAAACGTTTTTTGAACCTAACTCTACCTTTTCTATGTCATACGAATCTCGTGTAACGCAATTTGTACACATATAAAATCCGCGTTATATGCTACGGCTAACTGTATAATATAAATAATAGATAATAATAGTAATGCTTACAGTGATACTCACTGGACTTGGATCGCGGTTCCCGCGGCCCGTCTACGGTCACTTTGATGGCCTTGGTGTACGTGGCGACTTGCGGTGGCGTCGTGGACACCGTAATCGTCAACGTCAAGCTCTTCCCTGAAATAAATGACCACGAAATTTCAGTGACGAAAAAAAAAAAAGAAATAGTGGCGTGAAAACTCTTAATCAAAGATTCGAGAAAACAAAAGTCAACCATAACGCGCAGCAATACTGTGCCAGGAGTTGTTGCGGGTAAATCTCAAACACGCGGATTCTGAAATTTGTAATTTGTATACAATTCTGTAAACTTTCACCGACAATTTCGTACACTACCATTTGAAAAACAAAAGAAAGTGGACTCGATGATCGCGAGCGTCAAGCTTTTCCTGAAACAAACGGGACGGAAATGTCACTTCCGTCGACCATTTTTCTCCCCGTGGATCGTCGTCGATTCGCGGATGCGAGGATTGAAACGCCGCCGGAAGTTCGCAAACGTGGTTAGCCGGCTGAAACTCGTTGGTAACCGAATTAACCGTCGGTAATGTATCGAGGGCGTCGTCGACGGTGACGGTGGCCAGCCAACGCGACCGAGCCGAGTGGACGGGTGCGTCGAGTTATGTTAAAAAGCCTGTTACACGCGCGTCACGCGGGAAAGCAACCGCTCCCTTTCGTATAATACTTCAAACTGGGGACTTTCGTCGCGCTTCCTGGTTGTGAGGAGTGATTTATCCTATAGGATAAGCGTTTCATTGCTTCCGATGTCCGTGTTACTAACTACCGTTTTGTTTATTTTATGTAATAAGAAGTAGTATGTAAAGAATCATACGAGAACAAACTCTAATATTAAATTAAGTTATTTATATACACCAAATATCAGAGGTGCCAATAATTGTCAGTGTTTGTGCTATCGTTTTAATCGTTTTACTGAATAGAGAAGAAACACATAAAGAAGAATCAGGAAAATATTAAATTGCAATTTTAAATAAAAGTTACGATTTATATAACATGAAAGACCTGCCATTTTGTTTAATAGTAGAGTAACGGTTAATGAATCATATAAAAAGAATTATTATAATATATTGGTACTCTGATTTACATATCAATAGAGATCATGTTAAGATAGAATTCAGCTTCAAATCATGTTTCGATGAAAAGCTGGTTAAATTGCGGACAATGTTACGTAAAAAAAAGCGTCGCCACGCAGAACACGGTGGTTGCACACGCAAAGGTTCACCGCAATTCCACGTGCACCCTCTTTCACTCTTTTTCTCACCCTCATCGTTCCTCACCCCGAATGGATTGCTGATCGCATGACTCTTTCTTTCTCGCTCATCTCGATCCAACGGAGGACACTAAAAATGGGTTGGTATCGTGTTCGACACGTTCCGATTACTTGTATCGTCGAGGCGAATCGATTGCCTCTTTGAAAAGCGACTACTTTCGAGAAGGAAATCGAGAGGAAAGAAAAATGACGCTTTTGGAAATCCTGTCGATAAATTTGTTGTTTCAAAATTAATGATTAGTAGCGATAGTTTTAGTAAACGACTCAACCAATCTAATGCACTGATTGTTTTAGTAAACCAACATTTACAAAATGAGATATACAAAATGGTATACAAACATCTCTGTGTCACTCTAGTGTAAAATATGAAATTGTCGAAAAAGTATTTAATCATTAATCATTGATTAGGTTACAGTCTATAAGGTAAATAAGTTTCCGAAAAATACGAGTATTATTTTATGTTCTGTCGAGACTTCCTTAGAAATTCTATCGTTCATGGACGATAAGAATTGAAACAAAAAACTTGATATATAGAAATTACTGTACATCTGTACATCTCAAACTACAATATATAGGGCGAAAACGTTCAAGAAATAATATATGAATCTGGTAGATTAGAAAGTAAGTATAGACTTCTTATTTAATGTAATACCTAAGCATTCTAATCACGAAGAAGCCTCTCCAATAGTAAAATATTCCGTCACTTTTGGCGAAAATCCGCAGGGAACTCAACAGCAATCCGATATTTAATCCCGTATAATGATATCAACGAAATATACTTAATAATCGCTTTAGACTTTCCGTCGGCCTAAGTTTCTACCCTTCGACGTTTTCAGGACTGACGTGAAAGAAAGAAAGAAAGGGACAAATTATCGGAGGGGAATAATGGCGAGTGTCGAGCGTGGCCACACGGTGGTTCACCACGCGAGCTTCTCGTTTTCCACCAGGGGATCCCGTCAGTTTGTTGCAAGTCACGGCATCCTCCTCCACGACCTGGCAAACCTTTTCACCTATTGCCGGGGTTCGTGGTTGCACAGTTAGATAGGTACACGTAGGTATCACCCTCGGTGCCAGTCGCCATAGAACCATTAAAAGTCGTCTGACTATGTCGCTCCCTAACCCCTTAGTCTCGCCCTAACGAAACCTTTCTTCGATTTTCTTGAAGAACGATTTCAGAAGCCTTTTTGTATCTTGCCGTTCAACGCCACTTATCATCGCAAGCAGGAACGATAGTATCTTACAATGTTGGCTAACACGTCGATTTTTATAATGCATTATTTTTATTAGCTGATATTCATAGTCTAGGGCCTAGCCTCTAGGCGATAGGCGGATGAAAGTTAGCCCTAGTCACTTTTTCCTTTTTGATATTTCTTATATCACAAGGTACATAAAACTTGACTCAATTTTTTCAAAATTTATTTACCATCGTAAACATAGCGAACGCTTAAACAACATAATCTTTTGTATTCAATTGTAAGGATGCCTTGAAGCTCCTTTTGGAAACCTTTGATATTACGTGCGCGGTGTAGACGGATATTCTTGTGAGTGACTGTATGTACCCATAAAATCAAATCGTTGGTAGACTTTTAGAGGCCACGTTGGTACGATCGAAAGGAAATGATGATCACCGAAGCGAAAAGTGTATGGAGAACATTAAGAGGACAAATTGAATTGGCACCCGGTGCCATTGGAAAAGAGAGACAGCAGTGGAAGTGCATTGAGATCGATTTCCTGATAATGCTCGTTAGCATACGATTCTCTGGGAAAATGTGGACCCGCACGTGTATGCACACTGGCCCACCGTACGTGGTAGGCTGTCGGGTCGCTGTCGAGCCAATTAATTAATTTCAATTTTCCCCAAACGAATCGCAAATTCGCTATTGTACTCTGATAACGAATTGATTATGGTCAGGATGAACTGCCATCAACGACAACGACCACCTTTCCTAGTCCTCAAAATCAATGCGGTCCATTTCAGACTTCCGAACATCCCTTCTTCTTCCTCTCTACTTCTTCGACGACTAAGCGACTTTCGACAGAACTATCGACAAGTTTTACTGGTTGTGAATCACTACTTATGATTTGTATGATGTTGATGAGTTACGTATACCGTAAGTCTAGTTTTAGTGTTTTGGAAGCGAACAAGTCCAAAAATTCCTTAGAAAGTAATAATTGATAATAATTGAAAGTATATTTATAATTGCAAAGCGACGCAAGTAAATTTGTCACTGGTACTCCGACTATTATAGGAAATATAAAAAAAAAAAAAAAAAGAAATTGATTCTCTCAATCTGAGAATAACGAATCACTTTTGAAGTCGTGAAGCAATCCGTACATTTCGTCTTCGACGTAGAAAATGATACTGACGCGATATTCGAAACCGAGAATTCAACGTTTTCGCTGGATACCACTTAAAAGTGTTCTCAGTCGGAGGAAAACCGAGCACGTTAGTCGAGAGCTTCGTAATATCGATGATAAGCTACGGCCTCATTCCTGCACGTTCGGCTGTAATGCCAGTTTCATCACCACGAAGTCTACCCCGAAGGTACTGGATCGTTTTCATCCCTTCAACCCTAAGCCCTATAACGAGATAGATCATTTGAGCGCTTACAGTTTCAGCCTGGAGGAGACGGGTATCCTTCAACTTTGCTCTTGCAAATATACCTATCTCATCTGGCGACGGGATCACGCGTACCTTGTCGAAACAATTTCCGTTAGCTTCGCGAGCGTCGAAAATCTTGTTGTAAATAATTTTACATTCGTGGATTGCGGGCATATCATTGTGTCTGTACATACGAAGATTTTCATAAAAAGTTTGTTAACGGGTAGAATTTTAATTTAGAAGTTGCAGAAAGAAGTGACAAAGAATTTCCATTTTTTTTTATGGAGTCGTACGTAAAAATTAAACGAAATTATTGCTGGCTGTATATTTAGTTTAATCTTTAATATAACCTATCCAAATCAAATCAAACAATAACTCTCAACGAACGATGAAAGTACACCGTCAATTGTGAGTTTTCAAAAGTAATACACTTATTACGGTTTATGTAACACGTTATGAACAGGATTAGACTAATTCCAGATTATCGCTTTCTGCACATTACGATCCTACAAATAGATAATCAGATTCACTTTCAAAAAACTGAATACTCATTAACGACAAACGTAATATACATTTTAACTAAATCTCATTTGATCGAAAAACAAACAATAGTTGAATTATTCTCTTCCATACACAGTTCATGAAAATTAACTGTAATTATCTCGTGCCGCGATATTGAAATCATATTCTGAATTGTGTTATTTTAAATGTAAACGCGAATGAATATTTAAATTACACGACATTCATTAATGACTAACAGCAAATGTATACTTTTACGTGCGATTACAACATACATCTATTTCATAAACATTAAGAGATGGAATAGCGATTATCAAATTCGAGATAAATCGATGTCAACGTCTTCGTTAGTCGTTAAACAATAAAAATATTCTAATTGCATTTCTTCTGCAGTGCACATATTATTATATTTATTTAAAAAATTCTATTTATACGTTTCAATGAAGCTATTTTGAACCTACGTTTATAAAACTTTCTGATCGCATACATATTCAAAATAAACCACACTGTCACAATTCGATCAGTTGATTTTGGAACACGGTGTATTACATCGTTCCATACGTTTATATCTCGATTTTCTACCCGCCGTGTACTATATAACACCATTGCGATACAACTGTTTCTACGCTAACAAAAATACTCTTAATCAGAGTCCAAGGGCAATTTCTGTTCCACCCCTAAACCAAGCGAAATCGAGTCCGCCTGTCACATGCACACACAGAAATGGTCCCACGTTCGACAAACGGGAGGATCATTAAGGATTCGCCGGAGTTCCGTTGCGCATCGGTTCCCAGGGAATATTCAAGGAGCGGAGTCCTAGGAATCCTGATGAGAGACACTTCTCTTACATTCTTCATCCTAGCTTATGTTAATTCCGCGCTTGACGAAAACAATTGAGAGCTAATCCCAGACAAATGACTGACGCGCGTCCCCCTTTTCAAACGGAAAATTCACCCTCACTTTGGCATAGAAAATTCAAGCGTTCAGTGATTTCGTGCGTACGTTTCTGCTATTTAGCGCGAATCCATTTGGAGATCAAATATCTGAAATTCACGTCTACAGGGTATTTGTAAGTTAAAAATGTGAGCATCACAGACTGATACGAATCGTTGAATAAGATGAGAGAATTGATATAAATACACGTAACGGATTTTAGAACACGGAAACCTACTTATTAGGTATTTAAAGACGGGAAGATTAAGCTGATTTAATTGTAATGTGTACAAATACAAAAATACATAATACGAGCTCTCTCCGGAAACTATCGGACCTTGGGCTTTAACATTTTACCTGGGTGTGCTATTGTTTAAAATAATTATTAATTATTTAGGGGATTTTTATGAGTGCCTCTGCCGGTCAGAAGGATCCTGCAAGTTTTCAATTGTCTACTTAGTACATATTGTATCTTGTGCGCGTCGCAACAAGTGTGCATTAAAGTTTGCGGATACGTTGATTGTCTTTCGAACCAGGCCCATCAAGAGGAAACGGGACGGACTCTGTAAGTCCAGTTACAGAGTGAATAATTAGTTGGCAGAGTCAGACTTAGACTTTGCAAATCGAAGGAAATTTTGTTTTCCTTTGTTTTTTGTCGTTTCGTACATAGTATTAAGCTCGTTGACTCTATGTAGAGTATGCATCTATGTATGTATACTCTATGTAGAGAGAGATCGAAGGAACATTGATTCCTCCTATCTCCGGGTCTTCAGTCGCAGCAACCTCCACGTGGTGAGACCTGGTAATCGTTATTATTCGTGACGAACAATCCTTCGTCGCGAGCTAATGGCTACGAACTTGTGATAAGATCTTTAAATATGAAAAGTGTAAAGCGTAAAGTGAGATTAGATTTAGATTAGGAGGTCCAAGGAGCTGTGGCTGGGACTAGTGATGCCAATTAAGGGAGCTTCTGAAATAATTACATTGTTATTTACGGAGTATAATGACGTAAATTTTTATAAAAGCCTGTAGAAACTCTTTTCACATCCTGACTTCTTTTCCAATGGGATAAAAAACATAAGAATTGCACGATAATTTATCAAAATAATTTTAATATATAAAATGCGAGACACTGCTTTATTAGTGAAATATTGGGTTGTTGCATATTAAGTGTAAATGTTATTCGATCTCGGTAAGTAACGAAAGGCTATAAAAACTGATCCCTTGAGCAATTGCAATCAATTTGAACTGCGAGACATCTCGTAGTTGGCAATAAATTGGTTAATAATCGATCGCAGTTATGTGCTCCGATTCGTTAAATTCAAATGTACAATAACATATTATTCTCATATAACGCATAAAACAAGATCGCATAAAAACAGGTTTGACTGTGTTATACACATATATTGCTCGACTAGCTATAATTAACTTCAAATCAGTTCGTTCATGGTTCGTTGCTCCACCCACAAAGATACAGATACGATATTGCGTTAACAGTAAATATCTACTCGGCGAGACATAATATTACGTCAGTGGCGGGCAGTTATAGCTAACGGAAAGACGTAATATTACGTTAGGATGTGCGAATATATTAATCGAGTTGTAGCGAGGGCTATCGAATTGAAACGTGACCAGCTAACAGGATGAAGAGGGCTAGACAAAATAGCGGCCATAATAACGTTAATTAAAAGCTAACTGAAACCTCAATTAATATCGGCCACCCCTGTTTCCAAGGGTGCCGCCTTCTTCGAGTTGCGGCTCGTCCTTTTCTGCAGCGCGTCTGTTCCCGAGGCGAGACACCGAAGAAGGAAAGTAAAGAGGAGGTTGCTTGGCGGTAGTGCGGACAAATAAAACCCATTACCCACTCCAAGACGTCTTCGTCTCCTCGAATCCGCTCGCACACCAATCAACGACACCAACCAACCCCTGCGAAACGTCCAATTTAAACCCCGTCCCGAGAACCGTAGACTTTTCCTGAAGGAACGGAGGAAAAACGAGGGGTCTCTCAAGACGTCCGCGACCTACCCTTACTACGAGACCGAATTCTTTGACGGGACTTCCCGCCTACGGTCTCGCCCCCACCGGGTTTTCTTCCGCAACGCGGTCTGTCAACCGGGAATCAACCACTCCGAAGTTTCATGAATGAAGCGAGGAAGAAACGGGAGGAAACGCGACGCGAGATCATTTCGCAAGTTTGTTGGGACAGTACGGCTGTTTGATTAAGTTTCGGTAACAGTTGTTCGGTCGTTTGAGAATGCCAATTTACCGGAAGTAACGGAGAATGCAAACCTTTCCCGAAGGAGAGATTTAAGTTTCGCGGAAGGATTTTCATAGAACTCAGCAGTTAAGTTCCCAACCTCTTAATCTTCGTTCCTATGGGTATTTAACTTACAGACTGAGGTATACTTCTAAGCTGTGAACCAGGAAATATTTCTAATCATAAAGCCTCCTCCCCTCGATCAGCAGTTGCTGAGTCGAAATGACTTCCCCCACTTAATCACTCTTTTACGTTTCGTGCCAATTGCATTCATACACTGACTATCATTCAACGACAAGCTCTGAAAGACACTCACCTCTGCCACTTCTTCCGATGAACCTAAGATCGTTGAACTTGGCCACCTGATTCTTCATAAGGGCCGTCGAGTTCCTCAGCTCAGCACAGCAGTTCTCGTCGTTACCAGCACGAACAGTCACCAAAGTGCCATCGCCGACTTCACCAAGGGCCACGACTCTAAAACCTACCGGAAGGGTCTTGTTGGCCCTCCAATGGGCTGGTAGGACACTACAGACAAGATAGGGCGATCCTGTAACGGAATCAAAAACATCCAAACTCGAGCATCCTCTTGAAGATGACGTATTTTAATTTTGTATACAACGGAATGCTTTGAAAAGATTGAAATTCCGAAGATTTTTTATAAATTTAGTATAAAGAGTTGAATAAGAAATTAGCTTCATAAAAAATTGTTTTAAAATAAATTTAGTATTCTCGTACGAAATGGTCTCGTAGAAGTAAATTTAATAAGTGCTTCCGCCATAATAAAAACTGATTTGAACGATTTTGTTACGATCGCGTTTTCCTGACGACCAGAAGGATTAACAAAATATACAAAAAAGATCTAATAGAATTGAATCTGCAACCATATGTCTTAGATATGAAATTACTACAATTCATAAATTTCAGCAATCTGCTCTAATCAACTGAGCGGCATTATCATCTATTATCCGCTTTGTCACGGGTTCCAAGATTACTTCTTAGACGTACGCGTAAATGGTATGACTGAGTGTGAATGACAAGTGTTTAGAGATAGAGTGGAAGTGATCGAGAGAGTTTATTACAGTAGAGATAGTGTGCCTGATAGTTTCTGGAATTCACGTGGAGAGTTTGGATACGAGAAGCTACACGCGGTGTAGTTTGCGATTCGATGGCGACGATCTTAGAGTCGGTCGTCAGGAAAGAATTATAGGGCTTTAGAAACAGAGAGTTGCCAACGATTTGCAGTTACATTCTAGTAAAACATTCTTTTGTTTCAGATAAATTCAGAAATATTAAATAGTCCTCGTTCATTCGCCCTGCTCGCCAGCGTAACGTTTCCATACAATATTCTAATTAGCGACGGGGCGTGTTCAGACACCTGTCACCTGTCTAGCAATTCATTTGATGGCATTATATTGTACAAACTGCTAGGAACCAATAAAAATGGACCTGCACATTACCAAGAGACAGTTGCTTATGTTTGTATTATCGATTCCGTACCAAGCAGTTCGAATTCAACATGGACCAACAGACAATCGATAGAAAATGCGCTCATTTTAACCAATGAGACGATTTCTCGGTCGCTTTATAGTCAGTTCTCAGCGATAGCTACACCTCAGCGTCAGAACCAAACCGAACGCGTTTCTTGGCGATTAAAAACAATCAAGGCGCACCTGTTCGAACGAGTTCTCCAGGATGTTCGCTGACGAAGTCGCCTAATGTTCGCTCCGCCAGGATGTCGTTGGTCATCTTCGTGTAGGCGTCGGTCAAGGGAGAAACACCCGACTCCGGCGAGGCGGCAGTGCCAGGAGCCGAGGCTCCTGTCAACTGCATCCTACCGCTGGATCCACCGTTCTTGCTGACAGAATTGGCCGTTCCACAACTGGACTCGTTACTGGACCCCCTCACCGAGCCAGCGCCGCTTCCGGATACCGTACTTCCGCCACCGTCGCCGTTGCAACGGCCGAATATATCCATAGGCAGTCAGAACGCCGGATGATACATCCATCCATTCGGTTCAAGGGCTGAACTTCGACCTCTGGAGTATCGTTAGTGAATCGACGGCGCCGTGGGTCAGTCTGCTCGGTCTGACATGATGCCAGCCGACGCTGGAGGAGGATGCCGGTCACACGGTTGCGTTTAATTGTCCTTATAGATTCACAGCTGTCTCGATTCGATATCTCTACAGCTTGTCCACCCGTGGTGTTTCCAGATTGCGAGGGCGACGATTTCTCGGAGACATTGAATTATTTCTCATTAAGAGTCTCTCTCTTCCGTCTTCTATGTAGTTAGAATTGGACGAGAATGTTTCTCTTTGATCCACGAAGAAAACGAAGCTTTCTACGATCCCGAAATTCTACCTACGCGAGCTTCTTTTTCTAAGTACTCGTCGAGAGAGACAACTGTACCAGCCGCGAAGTGCGATGTCCTGAATCTACCTGCAAGCAAGAAAATTCAGGCGTGGTCAGTAGCTCTTCAAAGACGGGGGATTGGTATCTAGCGAGAAGCAAAAATTGATTCAAAGGCGTCTAGGAAAGAGTTGGTCCCAGGAGGTTCCCAGCAGGTTCCGAGTGTAGGCGACACTCCGAGAACCATGGCTGATGCGACCAACCCTTTCGACCCTAATCCATTTAACGAAGGCTTCCAGAAGCCTTTATCTCGCGATGGGAACCCTTTAACCGTGTCTGTCGAGCCTCGGAGCAACGCGACAACCTCGGAATGTCGAGTGATCGTGGCGCGAGGGCTGCTGGAGACGGTAGACGAGGAGGAACGGGGCGGAAAGGGTGAGGCGGGACAGGTTGACACGGACAGGAACGGCTCGCACACTTTTCACGCGGCCGGCTGGTGACGTCACCGTTCATTCAGTAATTTTTGCGCACGTCACCGGGGCTGACACACCGGATCCAGGTGGTTCCAGGAGGGGTTGGACCGGCCGCGATGGTGGGGGCGGAAAAAATAGGGGAAAAAGAACTCCCGCCGGCAGGCAACCCCCACACGCCACACGAGATACCCAGCCCCTACGCACGTACAACCGCGTGTCAAACTGCACGTGGTACGTTACCACGTTGCTCTGTCAATGCTGGGAGCTTCGGGATCGAAGAACCGCGGACACGCGCGAGAATATCGTGTCAGCCGGCTTCGCTTCAAAGGAGAATTTCAAATCGTTCCGACACTCGATCCCTAACCATCCATTCGTGATTTGGATCCGTCACGCTTGATTAGAGAGACGGTAATGAGCAATCGTGGTCGATTATCATGGAAAGCGTTCAGTTGAAATTTGTGTCTCGTTTTCAAGGAACGTCGACGAAATTTATGAGTATTTCTAACACGAGTATCGAGCACTGCGATCGATTCATCCTATGACGAACAAACTGTGTCGTTCGAAGATCAAGAAAGAGTCTCGCGAGCTTCACGGAAGAACGTAGAACGGCGCAGCGACGGCTAAGATTCCCGCTTAACTTAGCATTCAAATCTCTTACAGAGCCGGTGCCGTGTTCGCACTTCCGGTGGGAATACTTCGATGCGAGTACTATCGTTAGAAGGAGCATGACACGAGCGATTGGAAGGAATGACACACTCTTTGCGATTTGTTACATACTCGTAAATCGCGTTAGTTTCCACGCTAGCTCGATCAGAGATGAATCGGTGGAAACGGAGACCCCTTCGGAAGATTTCGAAAAATTTCTTGGAAAAATCACTCTGAGATTCTTCGATGATTGCCTCGTCCACGCGACCGTTTCCTTCGCGAGAGTTCAACGTTTTCATCCAATACCAGCGCGCAAAGAATCCCATCGAAGACACCACTCACTGGCCAATCATGTTCACCATCGCGACCGACGGACTATCAACGACACTTTCATCACCACCACACGATCCCGCGAACAGAACCACTCCGGTCGGTTATCGCGAAACCACTGTGATCCACGAAACGGCAAAACTTGAAAGAAATCCTGCGTGCTCGCGATCGTCATCGGCACGACTGTCGCTTATTTAGGAATCATCTTCGCGGTTCAAAGTGTCAAACTGTAAAACACCGAGGAGTCCCGCCACGCGCGATGGTTTCCTCCGAGGAACAACCAACCGGAATCCTCTCGAGACGCGAGGAATCACTTTGGACCCGACAGTCCCGGACCAGGCGTGTTTTGGTAGTCGCAGGCGTATCTCGGGACACCCGTAGGGGGCCACTAACTATAATTTCGGCGGTTCGTGTGAGGCAACAGCCGTTGACGCACTGGTCCATGCCAACACACGCAGCATCCCTTTCCCCTTTCCCGGTCCCTCTCGCACCCCTCAGCCACCCCACTCCTTCCCGTTGTGGCGTCTCTGTTCAGCGCTGGGGTCCTCCTCTCTGTCTCGCCGACTCGCCTCTCTTTCGTCCCTCATTCTCGACGGGCTGGCTGGATGCCCTCTTTCTCTCTCGCCTCCGTTGCTCTTTATCGCTTTATCTCCCACCGGACCCCCAACCCTCTTCCTCCCTCCCTTTCGCTTCTCTCTTTCCCCCTGGTCGACCCTTGTGCGGTGTGGCTCGCGTGCGTCTGACGGACCACCGCGCCGGTGTGGGAGGGAACCGCTTCGATCGATCGATCGAGCGCGATTCACCGGGACCGGGAGGACGGACTTTTTTCGCCTTCGACTTGGCCGCTGCCCGCGCCGCCCGAAATTCGCGGCTCTACGAGTCGTAACGAGTGGTCGTTGCGTTTAATTAGCCGCCTACCCGGTCGAAAGTTAATGAGGAGACGGCATCCGCGCGTCATTATTGTTCGTCTGTTTGCCAGCCTCTCGAATGTTTACACACCGATACGGACTCCAGACTCGGTATCGAGCAATCGCGACCGGCGACGATGGAGGAGTGCTCCGCATGATGTTCGAGAATTAGGATCGCCAATTATTGCTATACGAACCAGGGGCTGGAGAAGATTTCTCGATAGCGATACCTCCGACTGTTGATCTCCGTCTGTTATGGAAACAGGACAATTCTTACGAAAATATGATGCGTTTTATCGTCACTTTCGCGTGGTGCGTCGTTCCCGAGCGAGAGGTAAATGGAATCGCTTCGGTTCCTCGAGAATTGGGAAATCGAAATTGTCCAGATCCTCCCGAACGAAAGACTGACGTGCCTTCTTCGAGAGACTGATAGCGTCAGAGTTAAAGTCACTGCGGATCAAGAAGCATGGAAGATCGAAGTATCGATCCCGCGAGCAAAAGTCCGGGCTTCATCGTGCGTGTTTGCCTGCCGGTAAGTCCGCGACCGGTTGCCTATCGTCAGGATATATTCGCACAGGAAATGGGTAGTTCCATTGTTTGCACGTTCGTACAAACAGTGCAGCTGCGAGGATGCGCTGGACTGGGCTCTCTCTCTGTTTGATTTTCGAAAGTGAAGCTCCATTGTAGCGTATGTCGGCATGGTGTACAACGGCGAGTGTGTCTGCAGGTTTCGATCGGCGAATGAAAGAATCGAGAGGACACTTGGAAGGAAGCGCGGATCATGGAAGATACTCTATTCGATGCGAGTTCATTCAAACTGAAATTCGTCCATACCTATAAGAATATAGCCAGGCTATACCTGATGTTAGTTTCATCGTTCTTTGGTATCTTTCAAATTTCTAAAGATAAATTAGGAAATTGTGATCGAGTTTTAGAGCTTTCTACGTTAACACGTTTTAGAACATTTATCCAAGTTCATCATTTTTAACGCTTGCTGTAGCAGTAAGTGTGCGAATAAGAAAATTAATGAAATATTTGAGGAGTGCCTTGAAATAATTTATTTTCTATCACAGTTAACCTATGTAACCTTGAATGACCTTTACATTCATCTTGAAACGCTCTATATCATTATTAATAATAATAATTGATAATTTATGTATATAAGAAACTATATTATTCTATTTAAAAAAAAACCGAGTACGACTCTTTTTTTTATCGCTAAGAGTAAGCGAATTATTCAAGTGGCCTGTTTTAAATGCCTCACTCTGTATAACGTATACAGGACGTATAGCATTCTCCTCGAATAAACTAGCAAAGATATTTTTCGCAATCCTCCATTGAAATACCTATTCGCAAATCATTGAACAATTCAAAACCCCGAAACCTCGAACGAACTGTTGGCCGGGAAAGCCCGCGATTGCGTTAGACCGACGAAATGCGACGAAAACGAGGGAAACAGAGGCTATGGCGCCGCCGTGCCCCTCCAATCTGTCGTTTATTTGAATAACAGCAACGAGGTCCGCGGAATGAATCGCGCGAGCAGCAGAAGCGTCGGTATTCAGCGGCGAGCGATTCGCCGACGAGACGGTGACAAACAGCGATACGCTCGAAACGTGGAAACTGGACGGCCGTCGTCGTATTGACAAACGACCTAACGCCCGTGTGGACCGTTGCGTTCGACGAGATTCGAATTATCTCTGCTGGCGCTTGTCAATGCAAATGCCATACCTACATTCAATTACCGCTCGTCACGCTCCGATCAGCGCGCGACCGGGGGACCGCGGAATATTCCCGCTCGATTTCTTTCCGCGTCTCTTTCCCATCCTGACGCCGATTTCTGCCGACGATAACTCGATCTGTCATTTTTGGGGGGAATAACTCGTCCGCGAGAACAAAGACTCGAACCACGTTTGGTGATCGTTCAACGAAAACGGGATTCGCTATCGTTTCTTTATCTTCCGCTGTTTCCCCGATGAATGTAAATTTGAGCGTGAAATTCAACTCGATAGAAGCTCCTTGGATGAAAATTAATAGAGACGATTTCGCCAGAATTATACATACAGAGGAAGTAGAATAAAATTATAAGAAAATGGCTGTAACGGTGAGCGTAAGCGAATATGAAAAAAATAAAACTTCATGTAATGTTTATTTTGTTAGAAAAGAGAGAAGAAAAGTTCATTTCACTTTTCTGCGAATTGTCGAGTTTTGTCTAACGTATTCATACTAGAAAATTGAAAAAACAATAACAGATTGTCGTCATTATTTGTGAATCAATGTGCTTGAAATTAAACCACATAGATCTTCAAATGAGAATATAAAATTCAAATATAAAATTTCATGGAAATCCATTCAATTATTTATACACAACTGTATTAAATGACGTCTGTACGTAAAGTGGATGAGCAAATTATTAATTGGATGTGATTAAAGTACGTCCACTTCGAAATTGTTAAAATTGACATCTCAATGGAATTAAATTTACCTTGCCAATCCAAAGCATTCAGTTTTGTTTACTAGGATTACTGTATCAGATTATTTTATTATTTATTATCGTGTGTAGATTTATTAAATCTCATAAGACCTTTGATTCTCAAGTATATTTTGTTTAATATACACAAGAAGTTTTCTTTTTAATTACGAATTAGACTCATTTTATCTAAAAATTTATACGATAAGATATATTATAATACGATAGGATCATACTCTCTTTCAGTATGCAAGGTAACTTTGGATCGATTAGAATGTAATTACTGCTAAAATGTATAACTAATAACTTAATACGTATGCATGTATCTTTATTAGAAGTTCGGAAGGATATGACGTATGAAACAAATGTAAATTAAGTTACACTCGACCGTAATGAAATTTATACATTTGCAAAACAATTTCGTATCATCATCGTCAATTTTCAAAGATAAAAGATGAGCAGTAGACGACATCTGCACAATTAATTATAAGAAGCTTAGAGGTAAGAGATTTTGCGTTTAGGAATATTTGAAGTTTTCGGTGGAGGGTTTGTAACAATTTGTCAAATTTTTACATTGATTTTTCAGTTAATAATGGATACCTGGATCAACTCAAAACACCGCGCGACGAAGGGATGAACGACAATAATTGATGGTCTCGCTGTCGATAAACGATCGTTGTAGAGAGGGGCTCGTGCCTGCGCTTCATTATCGAGTAGCACTTTTTAACAAGCATCATAGTTTTGGTAAACTGCTCATTATTCTCGATTTTCAATATTTGAGGTATTAACAAAGAGAACCGATGTATTTTGATACTTACGAAAATAAAAAGGAAACAAACAAACATTGTAATTACACAAATCAATTTTTGCCCATCTCTGACGATAACGTGGTTCATGGAAACGCATCTCGGAGCACGTGTTGCCGAAGGAAGGCGAACGTAACGCGTTGCGATTCATCGAAAAGCCGCGCTGTGCGTAAATCGATACGTGTTCATCGCGAGAACGGATGGAAAACGATCGACGGAAACGCGACAGAAACGAGGAAAACGCGCGGTTATCGCGAACGTTGCCGCGTCTGACCGCGAACGGTCCAATTCCCGTTAATTCCTCAATTCCCAACGTGGAACTTTATAAATTATCTCGTCTCCTGTCCTCGAACATTCTCATCTTGGAAGACGCATCGTCAAGTATCTAAACGTGTTTACAAAAGCCTTTGTTGGTTGCTCTTTCGAACAAAATAATTTCAAGTATGGAATTGGAAAATTTTTAATCCGCCGATTTGGGACACCTTTCGTAGTACAAATAGTAAAATACTAATTATAGCATTAGGTTCGATATTATACATATCATGTAGTTAATAAATTATTCCTTTTTTTATTTATTCCATTAAGTATTCTCCAATTTACCTAATTATTATTATTTGCTACAGAATTACCCACGTGCCATTCAGTCAGAGGTGTTAGTCACGGTCCAAAACTCACTCTTTGAAACAAAGTTCTACAATTTCATTCTTTGCTGATAAGTAATTCAGCTATGTATTTAAGAAGTTAAGGAACGACACATAAAATCATTATGTTTACATTCCATAACTTGTATATTATATTCAATATACGAACTATATGTGTGTGTCTTATGTTTGTTTCTTTGACTGACAAGAGTAACTTTTACATTACTAGTAACTTTAACATTCTACTTTATAGTGATTCACGGATTCTCATTCATTCTTCAGCAACAACAATACCCGTAGCACGTGTCACGGATCAACAGTAAGCGCGAACATTTCAGAATTTACCGAAAAAATTAAAAAGGTTTCGTTACCAAACGCGGGTACCAACAAATTATCGTCTCTAATGACGTTTCTATAGAGACAAGCAGAATTCTTTTCGTCACTCGCGTTATGAAATCAACTAACCTTGTTTTGGTCTATTGGTTGATCCCTGACACTACTTAATCCAGAAAAGGGGATCAATCCCTTGAAATCAGGTCTTACAATTTCTTGTCGTCATTAAAGATCAAGTATGGAGATTGAAATGTGAATATCGAATGGCAGTTTCTAC